GCCGTGAGTTTACTTCTGAAAAGATTACCGTGCGAACCCCCGCTCTAGTAAATAAGTAACGATGAAATCAAAACCAACGAAAACCTCAGACAAATTCTGAGCAGGTATGCCATAACCGACGTACTGAAAGAAGCGCAATCATGTAAACGAAATTTGTCCGGTGTTCGCTTTTTTCAGAATGTTCTACGATTATATACAGTAACTCTAGGCAATAAGAAAGTGCGGATATTTGCCTGCTGTAAGCAGAGAATTTTAGTAGTTTCGCAGTATATGCACAGAGCAAGAGGTATGAATATACGAAGAGGTTGGGGCGAAATGTGAAGCTCTTGCGAATTATGCTGTATTATTAGAGACCAAGCTAGTTGGATACGAACTTCCTCCCCGACCGAGTATAAACTGTGTGAAGCCCATTGCCGAAATACTACTTAACAAGCAACATGTCCCGAAAGGTGTTCGTCGTTTCGCCCCTAACGTCGTTGCAGCGGCTGCGTTCCACTGAACCCCTGTGAAACATGGGCCGAAACGTTGGTACCGGTTAATCCACTCGACTGATTGCTTTAGTTTGCTTTGTGTGGGAATAAACCGTGTTTTTGCACAGTTTTGATTGTCTTCATAGAAGCGGTAAGAAATTGTGTAACTCGTGTAGTCTGTTCAGGTGGACAGCGCGAAGCTGGCTTCACAAACGGGCAAGGACAAAATGGCCGTACCTCCCGCGCTTCACAGCCAACAGAAGGTAAGGGAAAATGATCACGTAAGGAAAACGTGTAGCGTTGTACAAGTGCCGTTTGTAGACCGTCTGGGCTTGTTCGCTGTGCCACCAGCGACAGCAGATTTTGGGCAAGACTGGAAAGTGGTTCCGCAGAGACCAGACTCGGGCGACGACGCCGACCGACGTTTCGCCGGCATCTTCTCCAAGAGTTGTGCCGTCCTCAGACACGTCCTCCTCGCTGAAGGCGTTGGCCGAGGATACTCGTTCGTCGCCGAAGGCGCAGGACGCGAGGCTCACGTCTGGGCCAAGCCAGACTGACAAACGCCCCGAAACGCTGTCGCCAAAAGGCCGCGCGGACACTGGTCGCGGCAAAACGGACACTTCTAAGCGCTCGTCCATATCAGAGGTAAGAGTTGCTGAAAATATTCAACTTCGTGTGACAGACCATCCGGCAGGCAGATTTTATAGCACTTTCAATTTTATTCTGTCCCCCAGACTGTCCCTCGCAAGATGCACTCCTCACCACACTACAGTATACAAACTACTTGAGCGCGTACTTTTGGCACACATGAAGTTCGTCACGGCAGTATCGTTGCTACGCAAGTTGCTATATTCCGGTTAAACAAGTAATTGCATTAACATCATTAACACCGAATTCGGCTTCTCATGAAAGTAGCCGTTCTGGTTCTTATATATCTCATTTGCATCTTCAGCGCTGTATAGAGACATGAGGTGCGAATAATATCTGTCAGTACACTGAAATATAGCATCTTGCTCCTTCTAACCTCGAACTTCGATGTTCAGCGACCGAAGGTTTTCTGTGTGTATTCGTAATCAGCTCAGCGAAGTCCCTACATGTGACATACGACTCCATGGTTATGTTTTCGCACTCGTTCTTTTCAACGTCTGTAGCAGGGATATGCCGCAAACGTCATGAAAAAGTTCGCTTTTGAGGACGACGTGGCATTGGTGCAAACTCACGGTAGACTTGTGATCAGATATCCTGCATTTTAACCACGGACTTGAAGATAACCCATGGCTACGATCAACGCTAAAAATAGCCTCCGCCTTAACCGGTAAGAAACGAATACCACCACCTTTCACCTCAGCTACTGTCTGGCGCAAGCGAATCTCAAAAGTTTCCTTCTGCCCTGACCAAGTGAAAAACGAGTCCTCCCCAAAATACCTAGGGTTGATATTAATTAGACCACAACCTTTAGAGAATACCTGTGCGCAAAGCAAGGTCTACAACGACATCGTGCACTAGGTTGCGGCGCATCTACTTAGAGATCTGATGCCCACTTCCTGCGAACAACAGCCCTGGGAATCATTTCTTCCGAGTAGCGAGTGGTTCCAGAACAGTGAACAGTGACAGACGGAATTTCGAGTTGTCCTTAACGACACCATGAGGATTAACGCAGGAGAGATTTATGACACTCCGTTATCCTGTCTACCGGTGGTCTTTAACATGCCTCTATCCAACATCAGGAGCTACGAAAATAGCCTAGCAGAGCATCACGGAACCTATCAGGAGCGAAGCATAGAGTCCATTAAGAAGTCTGACACCCTCTTTCGTTCAGAACTCAAATCGCAGAATGCATTCTGACACGCCATCGGTATCCAAGCGGCATCGACCTTTGATGTCATTGAAGAGTGGAGAAAGTCCGACAGAACGTCAATGGGCGACGACCCCACCGAGGGCCGCTGGGCTTCTGGGCAGATTGCGCACAATTCACGGCAGGACAGGAAACAATCTGCAAGTGGCGGTACAACGGAAATCCTTGTACGACAGCGGCTTTTCAGATCACACAGCCAATCACATGATTGGCCAATGCGAAGTTAGGAAGTGAGAACGAGGATTCGCAGTACTGCGCGACTTGGAGACCGAATCCGCTGGCGGGATGTCGAAATTAGACTTGGACTTATATTTGCTGTCGCCAAATACGGCACATTACCTGCGCTGTGACCACGGGTCGATAATCGTTACGGTCTAGTTCTGTATTCAAAGTTGCCTCATTTTCTTTTGGTGCAAGCTTTGTGGCTGCGAGATGAGGTCGGTCACTCACGGAAGTGGAAGTGTGCCAGCTTTCAGTTACCGAGACAGCTATCGAAAGGAGAGAACGTTGAGAATCTCACTTCGCGACCACATCGCAAACACGGTAGATGATCAGGTAGCGCATGGGAGCGAATGACGTCATAATCGAACGCGGAAACGACACGCTGCAACGGGCCGGACCACAAGGCCGGAGATGACCCCGTTGACTGGTACCCCCGCTCAGACGTGCTCCAAGACGATGAAAAGATTATATCAGGAGACCCGATGGACCGCGCTAGGGGGGACGGTAGAAGGCTCGAGATGTCAAGCTATGACGGGCGTGTTGTCGGTCGGGCCGTCGCGATTCGTTGCCGATTACTGGCCAGTTCGGGAGAACAAGTTTTGTGGACGATTCATTAGTGTTTCGGTTTTCAAACTTCTGATGCTGGCGCGAATCACGAGGCTGCACAGGCAAACGGTGAAACGTGACAACTTCACGGCTGCGGAACCATCGAATTTTCTTTCACGACTTTTGCCGTCTCGTCGGTTGTATTATTAGTTAGTTCATTCTTTTTCTGAATATCTTGTGAATCTGAAGCGTAGCAGCTTTGCCGGTAACTCATCAGTCGGCCAGTCAATTGCGATCACTGCTTCTGCTTTCCGTTCGCAGACTCATACGTGTCTGACAGGGTCGACAACGCTGTCGATGCTGCGCCAGCGCTGAAACTCCGGCAGTCTTGAGAAGAATTCTTCGAAGCATTTGCCCCAGGCTATTTTTGGTCGTCCCCGGAGTCTTCGACCGGTCGGTTGAGCAGCAAGTGGCTGCTTCGTCCGCCATTCTGGGAGAACTCGAAGGACGAACCCAAACCGTTGTAGCCGGGACATTCGAATCTGCAGAAGCCGCAGTTGTACACAAAGGCTTTCTCAGATACCTGTACTCAGGACCATGTCGAGACGCGACGCGTCAGCCAGTGATTTGCCTCAGAAAAGCCGTTACAGCCACTTGCACTCAAGATCGACATTCTTCAGTCATGGCCCTTGACTGTTGATCATCGCTGACCATTGGCGTGAAAATCAACTGAAATTCAGGCAGCTTAGTCTGCAGACTCAACACAGCGCCGCTGGCCATCATCTGTCGATCTCTTCCTTCCGTTTTCCGTCACCGGTAGACACGACCCGCTGGTTTTTGAACTTCTCCGTTTATCTGGTGAGCGTAGAAAAGAGCAGAAGGACAAAAAACTGGGTTTTTCATTTCATAAGCATGCCGGTTAGGTGTCGAACTCAGCTACAAGCCTTTCCGAGAGTGCTGGAGATCAGTTTCAAAAACTTTTAACAAAGCGAGGCCGTTTGCAGACAGTAAACCTTTCGTTTCCGCGTTTGCTACCCTGATACGCTGTTTGGCCTGGCTGCGATTGACTCTTCTATCCATATACAACACAAACAGAACAGACGACAGAGCGCAGTCTTGGCAGAGGCCAATGCCAAAGTTGAAAGTTCTCTACCTAACGCAATTTACTCTGACGCTACACATATATGCGACCAACATATAGTGACTTAATGGATCACAGCTACAAGTCATTAGTCCCATACGTTCGCAGACACGTCCACGGCTTGTTTTTCACATCTCAATCGGATGCGCGCATTCGCATCGCTTCTCTACAATCTGTCCTATGGTGAAGAGCGCTTGTAAGAGGGGCTTTGGCATGACCAAAAGATGCGCTGTGTTTTTTATATTAAAGTCAGTTATTCAGCGGCTCTTCGCTTCTAACACATCGGCGAAGACTTTTTCGGGAAGCTTAGGGGGACCCCCTTTCTGGGCTTAACGTAATGCCCTGATAATTGGAATAATTCTTTTGGTCTGCCTTCTTGAACAAGGGTATTGCAACACTCGTTCTACAGTATGCTGGTATCTTCTCTGCAGCTATCGTTGTTTCACAGACACGTGTTGCCATTGCCGATGACCACAACAAGCCTTGTTCGCCCATAGGGCTCATATTCTTTCTCTGGATTGGACATATAGAACTGTAACAAAATCAAAACTGTAAGCTGTTGTAACGTCTGCCGGGTGAGATTGTCACTTGCCAGAACGCGCCTTGTTAACCTAAAGCATCTTAGGCCGGATCTGATCGATTCCAATAGCTTTTCACGTATCTAGCTTTGATAGCTTCTGTTTCTTTACATACCAAATATCAGTTACCTCCAGCTGTTCAGTCGAGTCTTCCTGGGGCTGTTCAAAGATAAGGAGTTCATCAAAGTAGTATCTCCATCAACGAAGAACGACTACCCTTCGTTGGTAGGCAAGCGTCCTTCCTTCAAGACTTTTAGACTGCCCTTCTTTCTATCTGGGCAGAGGCTGAGGTCTGCTAGAACTCTTCTGTCTGAAAATTTCATTCCAGCACCTTATCGAACTTCTCCCAGGAATCTGCGTTCGCTCCGGCCAATGCTTTTGTCGCCGCTTTGTGTGCAATTACTACCATTACTACCGTAATCGAGTTGAAGGTTCTTTGCTTTCAAGCCAACTCTTGAATTCAGCCTACTTCTGTACAATATTCAGTTGAACCTCTGCTGTCTACCAGGTAGTTCGTTTAATAATCCCAAGCGGCAAGCTGACCCGTTTTCAACCGCAGTATTCAGCAACAGCCCTGAGCAAACCGCTCTTAAAGAGCTTACATATGTTTCCACATCAGACATCATCACTGGGATTTGTTCGAACCGTTTTGCGATGTTGTTTCCAAGTGTCGTTCTCGTATCCGCAGAAGATACACGTTCCCATTTGATTCGCTGGTTGCTTATGCCCCTAGCTCTTTGCGTTTTGCTCCAACATTTGCACCGGAGGATGTTAACGATGAGGTGATGATCGGCCAACGGCTCTGCGCTTCTCCTACCGCGAACTTCCACTGAAGAACGTTGTAACTGAGACGATGTGATTAACAAACCGATCTTCGTTTCTGTGCGTCGCACGCTTCCCTATTCCAGGCAGTTGCTCGAAGAAGGTGTTGCTGATAGGCAGTCCGTGGTCTGCATAAAACCGCAATAACCTCATGCTATTGTTATTGTTGACGCCGCTACGGTTCTGATCACGCGTTTCCACGTCTTGGTTTTCGCCAACAAGTGTATTGAAATCAGCCATTAGGATGATGTATTCCATAATCAGCATTTCGAGCAGAGCACGTTCTGATTCATCCAACAAGTACTCATGGTTTCCCTCTGATTTGGCCGCATGGGCGTGCGACTAGGTCAACGCTTTAGTCCGTTGTAGTTTCAGTCAGAGGATTACCACCCTTCCGCTGACAGGCTTCCAATCAATGATTCTATCGGCAAAGTTGGGTTCTAACAGAACACCAACACCGGCCTGAGCGCGAGTCGTGATATCGACGCCTGAGTAGAATGGCTTCCACTTGCAGAGGTTCAGAATTTTAGTGCCCTGTCGCTTAGTTGACGTTCGAAGTCAAAGTTTGTCAAGCGGTTACCTTGTGGCCTCACCAACTAAATCCTGTTTTTACCCTCCGAGTGAGGATATATCCCAGTTTCCGAATGTGTAAGCTCCCACTGGCAATGTGGTTCTCGTGGAGTCTTTTCTGACTGACCATAATGCCATCGCGCTGTGTTCTCCTTCGCTCAAAACGGCCAATGACTTTTTTGCTGACTGACACTTTTCTTCGTCTTCCTGCGCCTCTTCGGCATCCATTGTCGTGCTGCTGCGGTTCCAGCTGTCAGAAGGCGTAAAGCGAGTTCTGATCGTTGGCGTTTCGCGGTCTGCCTCAGTTCCTCAATAGACTGCGCGGCCGCTGTGGAACCCGTGCGACGACTGAGGCGGTGTAACGTTCGATAACGACAACGCAATGATAAGCGCAAGAGGATAGGTTTTACGAGAACCTCGCCACTGTTTCTCACCTCACTTTCCTGCTTTCTTATCCGGGCCAGAGACCGGCCATGTCAGAGTTTCTTTTCAACTTGCTGCCTTACAAACCTGATGACTGTTTAGCGAAATGCGTTTCTGATGCCAATTTCTCCTCTGGGACGAACACTGAAAGATGTATAAAAACGCGGTTTATTTATACACAACGGAAGTAAATTGGTCAATTATATGATTAACCAGTACCGACGTTTAGGCTGGTCTCTGACAGGCTTTCTTCAGGGTGGACAGGGCTGATTTGCGCAGTTCGTTCCGTGATCCGCAGAACAGAGTCAACCCTGTCCACCGTCAATCAGTCAATTTAGGACAAATTTGCTTGTGTTATGTGCAACTGTAGACGTTTTTAGTTTTTATATGATCACCAACGCATGAGCGAAGTGCTCAATCCTGGGACAGACACGTTTCTAAACCTACACTGTGTTCTTGAAACGAAACCTTTTCCCGCTCTTGAGGCACTGAGTGTCGGTTGATGGCTGACGCCTTTCCGGGGGAGGGGAGTCTGATAGCTGTTCGAAACGGAACAAATTACGGTTTTTAGTTGTGAGCCGAGGTTTCATTTCGTTTCGTTCGTCAATGCTAGTTGATAAAGAGCGGTTCATAGACTAATATGCGTCGGTCTTGTGGAAAGTGATGTTCTCTTGGAAACGAATTTCTATTGCTCGCTTTTATAGACCGGTACAACCTCTTCGAAGTACGGTGTCAAGAAGGAAGGACCGGCCACTAAAGATGTCAAGTCTGAAAAAACAGAGACACGAGAAAAGCGAGAAGAGCGCGTGTCTGACGACCGTTCTCGTCAATCGCAGAAACTAGAGGAGGCAAACAGCCGGCCTTCGCCCACTCCTCCGGGAGGAGAACCGCAAACGGTCGTGTCGGAAATGAGCGTCGAAAACTATAAAACGTCGGTCGGCTCGGGCATCGGTGCCAGAACTGAGAAGGGCTCGCGAGAAGAACGCCAGCCTCGCCATAATAGTGTCTCGAAGCACCGACAGAGCAGAATCGTTGATTCGTCGCCATCCGCCGAAGCCAACCAATCGGCGAACGTCGATGCGTCCGATTCTCGAACCGTGACGAACATGGGGCAGTCACTGGGACAAGAGGTGGTGGAGCCGTTCGCCGCCGCCAAGCTTTCTCCGCCTTACAATACAGTAACGGCGGCAACGACGAGGAGCGAAGTGGAGAAGCACCCGTTGGACAGGAGAAGAGCCAGTCAGTACGAGTACGGCAACAAACGACTGCACACCGTCAGAACGCACTCTCTGAAGCAGGATACGCGGCAATCGTCGACCACCGCCACTGCGGCTGCTACCGTATCGAAGTCGACGCGAGAGGCAGCTGAGGTGGGCGGCACGGCTGTACGCATGACGGGCTCGTTCGCCGACGATCGCCGTGGCTTCGAGCCGGAGGTTCGTTCTACGACGAACAGAAAGGTGTCTGAATTGGACCACGCTAAGTCGGTGCGCGGTCAGCAAAACGACGACAACGAAGAAACGATGTCCACGACTAAAACGGCCTCCGCGGTTGCCACTTCGCAACCGCTGAACTCAACGGAGAGGTATTTGTCACCCGAGGGATACGCGCCATCGACGAGGCACCAAAGTTCCAGCCTGAGGAGGGAGTCGAAGGATCACGGAAGGATTCACAGGGCCGAGTCTCAGAGCAGCGAAACGTCAGACGTGACCGTCGTCACGGATTGGGCGAAGCGGCGCCAGTCGGACCAGGAGCCGTGTCGTCTGCGCTACAAATCGTTGTCGAAGCAACACTCGATCAGTTCGTCCGAAGAAGACCTTCCGTCCACTTCCGAGTGCCAGAGCGTCGAGGATTTCGAAAGCGAAAGTTACTCTGACCGAGGTAAGCGCGTTGTTCGTTCTTTGTCACTTCTTCCGGTTCGAAAATGAGGCAGGGAATTTTGAACAGGCGTACGCATGCTCACGATCACTTGTTCAGAAGGCGTTGTAACTTACAAATTTAAGAGTTAAAGGTAGGTTCTGGGGCGTCACTGACAGAGACAACCATCAATGAACGTTCGCCAAACTCAGTGCTAAACGAATTAGCATATTTTAATATATCGTGCATACTTTTCACGATGGTGCAACTTTTCCCAGCATGTATGTGTGTCGTGAAATGTCTTATGTATTCAGATGGACCTTAGTTGTATGGTTCTGTTTTGAGCAGTATTCATCTATGAGTTTCATTCTGCCCGTGTCATCAGAAACGGGCCAACAAACCAAAATTTTGTTGAATATATCTATAAAAAACTAAAAATATGACTCCTTTAGCATCCTAGCACAATGAGGAAGCTTGAGGAAATAACTGAAATTCATTTCAATTCGATGTCTTCTTTTTCTTCATCAATAAACACGTTATTTCAGTGGTAGTTCTAGACACAGCAAAACAACGAAATAGTAGTCGTCTTTGCAAGAACTGCC